CCTCAGCATAATTTGTCCTGCCGGGCTCTCGCATATGTGAGCCTTGATAATTTTTTCAAAGACTTTGCCTAGGATGGAGGTGAGACTGACTGGCCTATAGTTACCTGGGTCCTCCTTCTTCCCCTTCTTGAAAATGGGGACCACATTGGCCCTTTTCCAGTGCTCCGGGACTTGGCCCGTGTGCCACGAGCATTCAAATATTCCCGCCAGTGGCTGTGCAATGATGTCAGCCAGTGCCTTCAGTACCCTCGGATGGAGCACATCCGGGCCTGCCGACTTAAAGGCATCCAGTTCCTCCAAGTGCCTCTGCACCATCTCAGGGTCTACGCCTGGTAGGTTGGCGTCCTGCTGCTACGTCTCTACAATCCCAGTGAGAGACTTGTCTTGCCCCTCGCTTAGGAACACTGAGGCAAAGAACTCATTCAGGAGTTCAGCCTTGTCCCCCCTGTCCATCACCAATTGCTTCTGCCCATTTAGTAGAGGTCCTATTCCACCCTGGGCCTTCCTTTTACTCCCTATATATCTAAAGAACAGTTTTTTGTTATCCTTAACTTGGGATGCCATCCTCAGCTCCATGTAGCTTTTGGCCTGTCTAACTGCCTCCCTACAAGCATGAGCAGAGGAGGTATACAGCCCAGTGGAGGTTGGCAGGACCAGCACTGGGCCTCCGCCCTGCCTCCCTCCACCAAACTCAGCTCCCAGCGCTGGTCCCAGGTGGCAGCAGCAGCCTCCTGCCTGCACCCCCGGGAGGGCTGCGGGGCTCTGCCAGACTCCTTCAGGGTTGCGGCCCCCAATCTGCCTGCAATCACAGGAAGCTGCTCCTCCTTCAGTTTCGTGCTTCCCCATTATAACCTATGGGCGAAACTTCGAAACAGTTTTGAAACAGCGAAACTTTTGATTAAATGAAATGGAACAGTGCTTTCAAAACAAAACTAAACTCAAAATGAAACTGTCCCCCTGAAATGTCGAAAAAGAACGGTGCGGTTTCACACAGCCCTAACATCTATCAAGTGTTTTATGTGGCTGTAAAGACAAGAGTTTGGGGCGTAAAATATCCCACCACAAAAATGGATGCTGTCACAGACTGAGTCAGGTTTCCTCTGTTGGACATTTCCAGGTTGTTGTGTTTGTATCCAAGCCTAGATCCTGCAGTCTTCTGAGACATTTAACACTTCAGGGCAACAGCAGTTACAGTAAGGAAGTTTTTAAAAAAACATAGGCTTTACAAATTCATGCTAGCCAGTTAAATCTGTGTACATGCAGACTCTCCTTTCTATTTGTGTTTCCTATTTAAGCTATATCTTGTCTAGAATGAGACTGAATTAGCATATCAATTGTCATTAGAAAGACATTCTGGATTAATAACTACTTTGATTGTTTTGTAACAATTTCCAGGCAGTATATATGATACAAGATGTGATCCATGGCAACAAACTGGATGGCTTAAAGCATACTGAGAATTAACTACTATGTATGGTTCCTAAAAATCAGTCAAGATTT